TCTCTCTCTGTCTCTCTCTCTCTCTCTCTCTCTCTCTCTCTATATATATATATATATATATATACATACATATACCCCTTATGTTGTTTATTGGCTATTTTTCTTATTAATAATTAACATGCAAGAAACTAAGCACTCTCAAACAAAAGGGGGGGTTCCAGCAAGATGGCGAACTGAGCACACATACTTTGTTGTGACTCTGATCATCAGTCCCACATTTTTGTGTTGCTTGTCTTTCTTGTTTAGTTTAGGAAAATAGTTAGGATGAGTTTAGCATTTCCTTAAACATTTTCCATTTGCCCACCAATTTATATGATTTATTTGCCTACTTTCATCACATATATCATTATTTATTTATGTGTTTGAACAAGAATACGTGTATTTATGCACACATTTATTTATTTATTTGTCGAAACCGAAGACAGCTGCAACAGGTGATGCTTCTTTAGGTGCACACGCATTAATGTCTCACGACTACGCTGCCCCTGTTGTTGAAGAGATGATGGAAACTCAATCAGTGAGTGTAAGGAGACCGTTGGAATCTATACCTACTAAAATTCCTGTACCTTAAAATAAAATTAAAAGGGGATGGTCAGCCTGAGGTTTCCAACGCCGCCATTCGTGACGCGATAAATAATCTGACAACCATGATGGAGGGTTTCGGTACTCAACTAAAGCAGAATACGGTAATGATAGCCGAACTGTCAAAAGGTGTTGAATTTAACGCAAAGGAGATCAAGGACTGTAAATCTGCATCCAGTAACCTTGGAAAAGAAGTGTCCAAGATGGCAAAGGAAAATGCGGAGCTTAAGGAGCGGGTTCAGGAACTGGAGCGTTATAAGCGACGCTGGAATCTCAAGCTTCGCGGTTTAAAAGAGAAAACAGAAGAAAGAACACGGGACGAGGTACTTGGTATCATGGCAAAGATCAATCCACAGTGGTCCACAATTTTCCCACAAAACTGGAAAGTATGGTGGATTCCAGGGGCGGTTTCTCCATTAGGGCGATTGGGCGACGCACCACCAAAGCGCGGATTTTTTTTTCTTTCACATTCAACCACAGTGTTACGCTAGCTTTCACGGTTTGTTCTGCCTCTAAATAGTCCAATCAGCGTCGAGTCGCGTTTTGTGTAGTACCGCCCATTTTTGGGCGATTTCTGTCAGACTGAGAATCGCCCCGAGTGCTGTCATAGACTTCCATACAAAGATCATGTTTTTCGAACTACAGGCACTGCAATGCAATCTCTATGAGTTCCGGGAGGGCTAGCACTAACGTGCTTTCGTCATCATGCGTAACCTTAACTTGTGCAAGGATTGGTGGGAACAGTGACATCCAATAATATTTTAAAACTATTTTGAATTTTAACAACAAGAAAAAATTAAAAACTTCTTTAATATCTTTATCAAATGTAAAAAAAAATTTTAAAAAAAGAGAGAGAGAGAGAGAGACGGGGACAGCTAACTTGTGCAAGGATTGGTGGGAACAGTGACAGCCAATAATATTTAAAAACGATTTTGAATTTTAACAACAAGAAAAAATTAAAAACTTCTTTAATATCCTTATCAAATGTAAAAAAAAGAAAAAGAAAAAAAAAGAGAGAGAGACGGGGACAGCTATGCCAACTCAAATTCAGTTGTCAGTTGAACTTGATCGACATCTTGGCGAACGTTAACTCAGCGCAGATGAATTCTATTGTGTCATTGAAAGAAATACCATTCAGTCGTCGTAGTAAAGAATTAGGACCACCAAGACCTAATTTAAACATCAAACAAGTAGATCATTTGCTGCTGAATTGTGTTACCACACATATAGAAACATAAGGAGAGCAAGAGATTGATTGTTAGAGTCAGTTTATTTTTAATTAATACTATAGTAGTTCAGTTTCCTTTACATCTTTAACTAGCCATTAATTTATCAATTGAATGGGTGACCTATCCTCATTAATCATGCAAACATTTGCCCCCCCTGAGAGAATTGGCAGGAGCCGCCACTGGTGGATTCGGTACATCACGTGGGAAAGTTAGAGATGGAGCGAAACCGACAGGTGGTTATCCAATTCACCATGAGGCACTACAGAGATGATTTCTGGCGTCTTACGAAGAATTCCTCAGTATGCAAAGATTTGAACATGAGTTTTGCCGAGCACATCCTTCCAGTGAACAGGGAGGCAAGAGCACTACTGTGGCCGCAGATAAAGCAGGCAAGAGAAGCAGGTCACCGAGCTTATTTCAGAGGTCCATATGGCTACATCAACGGGAAAATAATCTCTGCTACTTAAGGTTTTTGCGGTCTGTCATTACAAAGGAACTTAAGAAGTACTCTATAATGTCTGTTTAAGGGACGCCAAGCACTTCTTTCACAGCAAAGTTTATTCGTTCTTATTTACTTTGTTCTTGTTCAAATGTTCTCTTTAAAAACTGATTTCTGTTTTTCTTCCTTCAATGTTAGGGGTCTTCGAGATAACGTGAAACGCAAAGCTCTTTTCTTATTCTGTAAAGGTAAAAAGGCACACTGTTATATGTTACAAGAAACTCACTCGAGTGTTTTAGATGAGAAATTTTGGACTAATCAGCGGGGGGACAAAATTGTATTTTGTCTTGGAACGAATCGTTCAGCGGGAGTTGCCATTTTGTTTCATAATTGCCCTGGAAAAGTAATTGTACATAAATCCAGTGATAATGGTCACTGGCTCATTTGTGTGCTTTCCATTGATGACATGTTTATTATAATAGGAAATGTATATGGTTATAATACTATTAATCAAAACAGGGACCTGCTATCGGAAGTTTCTGAAGTTATAATGGGCCTGAAACTTGCATATTCCACAGATAATATTATATTAGGAGGGGATTTTAACATGGTGCAGGATGATTGCCTGGACCGCTTTCCATCTAAATTTAATAGTCATCGGGACAAGCAAATCAAGATTGGACTTCTGGCTTATCTCATTCCACATTAAGGAAAATATTTTAGATTGCTTTATATCCCCCGCACCAATTTCTGATCATTGTATGGTTGGTTTAAATTTAAAGTCTCTTAACTGCACGGCGTTGTAATAAGGGATATTGGAAATTTAACGCCAATCTTCTTAATTCGGAGGCCTTTTGTCAAGGAGTTAAAAATATTATTGCAGAAGTGAGTGAAGATTCTTCACTTTCCTCGAATATTAGTAAATGGGAATATTTGAAATTTAGAGTTCGTAATTATTCTATTTCCTTTGGTAAACAGCAAAAAAAATCGACCCATTTAATTAATCGACCCAAGTTAATCTTATTAGAGAGATAAGTGAATGTTGCAGTAATAGTCAGTCTGATGATTCAGATAGA